CGCGGCTGCAGCTGGAGATGACCCAGCCCGTGGGCGTGACTCGGCAGGGGGCGGCAGGACCCATGATCAGAAGCCCCGCAGCCGCAGCTGCCCGCGCCCTGCAGCAGGGGCCAGGGGGGGGACGGATCCAGGTGAGCGTTGCGGTCGGCCGCGACACACCCGCCCCCCCCCCCCCCTCCCCCAGGGACACATGACAGTTTCACCATCTACCATGCCAATATCACTAATTGGAACAAGAAAGCCAAGGATTATCTTCAAGCTTCGAGTTTTGGACAACCAGGAATCATCATGCTAGGGGAGACGCATCTGGTTTCAGGACGTTTGGGAGAAGCTAGGAAGTTCATGGGGAAGCTTGGCTACAAGTGCTATCAGTGTCCAGCAGCTCACACCCCCGCAGGCAGCTGAGGCGGTGTTGGGCTATCCGTGTCAAAGCAGTTTCACTCGCATGCGCGCACCATGAACGGGAAGGGGCAGGCCAAACCATTAGTGGGAGGGACTAATTGGACAGCCTGTATAGTCCGTCTGAATCGGTGCAATCTAGTTCTTATATCAGTATACTTACAGTCGGTGGTAGGCTACAATGCTTTCAACAACAGGGTGGTTCGAGATATCACCATATTCCTCAAGCAGCTCAAGCTCCCCTTCGTCATCGGAGGGGATTTCAACATGACCCCTGAGGAGCTCACCAACGGGAACCCCTGGGTCTCCAGGGCCGAGGGCACCATTAAGGCCCCAGAGGTTCACAGTACATGTTCGGGAGGTAGGCTCATCGACTTCTTCATCACCAGCAGTTTCTTCGGAGAATATTTCAGGGTCGAGACCGACCTCAACAGCCCTTGGAAGCCGCACATCGGCTTGCGGGCGACCTTCCAGGCAGAAATCATGGTCAGGCAGGGTTGGTTTCAAAAGCGAGCGGCCTCGCTCCAATCGCCGTCGGCACCCGCAGCACCATGGCATCATTACTGGGCCCAGGCTCAGATGGACTGGCAAGGTCCGCCAGATGTATCTCACCCTTTTGCCTCCGCCCACTCCTCCCCCGACCTGACCCACCAGCACGCTCGTCTTAGTCAGGCCTTGGAGGGGTGGTGTCTTGGAAGCCCGCCGAGCTGTCCACCGAGTTTTGGGCGAGCTGAAGGCTTCCAGTGCGAATGGAAAGACATCTGCCCTCCCACTCCCTTTCAGCAGCGTCTACACCCTGCCAGTCACCAATGGGGGAGTTCTCCAGCAAAGGGCAAAGGAGAGAGACCAGCTCCAGAAGATCAAGCCCCGCTCAGAAGGCTTCCAGAGGCTCCAGGGGTACATCAGCGACATCGTCGACCAGGGCCTCCCGTGGCCCCCTGGGGCCCTCCAGGACTTCCAGGACCTGGTCAAGAAGTACCTCCTTGGGAACCTTCAGGAGGACCAACTTGAAGACGCTCTCTTCCAGCTAGAAGTGACAGTCCAGTTTTATGAGAAAGAGGCTCTGCGGCAGCAGGATGCTGCCTTCCAGTCGTGGCTCGGGGACTCCCTCGCGCACGGCGGCGGCGGCGCCCACCACATCGCGAAGATCCCAGGCCCCACCCCCGAGGAGGACAACGATATCTTCGTAGATGGCAATGGGCCCCATGCAGGTCGCAGGTCACAAGAGCGAGTTTTGGATGAAGTTCTGGGACCCAGAGGGAAACAAGTTGGAGGTCCCCCCCGAGGCCCAATGGATTCAAGAGCTTAGGCAGCAGGCACGGGATTCTTGGGATCAAGGCGACCAGTTCACCACCACCCAGGCATCGGCCGCGCTTAAGTCTTTCCCTGCGAGCTCGGCACCCGGCGCCGACCAGTGGCGCACCGCTGACCTTCGCCGGCTACCAGAAGCAGGATTGGAGATCCTAACAGATATAATCAATGATATATGCAGGCTGCAGCAGTACCCAGCCCAGTGTCTAATCAACCTCGTGGCCCTCAAGCCCAAGACGGAGACCGGTGACGGGCCCATCACCCTCGCCAATGCGCCCTATCGGGTCACCATGAGGCTCTTCAAAGGCCAGATATCTTCCTGGGAAGAAGCTCGGGCTGGTTTCTGGGATGCAGCCATCAAAGGTAGTGGTTGTCTGCAGGCCGCTCTGGTCAGCGAGGTTTTCGCTGAGATCGGAGGGGCCCTCCAGGCCAGCATCGTCGAGGGCGCGTTCGACCTCGAAAAGTTTTTCGACGCCATAGATATTCAGAAGCTCTCCCAGAAGGCGCTGCAGTTAGGCTACCCCGTGGTCCCGCTCTCCCTTGGGGCCCTGGTCCACACAGCTGTCAGGGCCCTCACTACGCCTATAGGGGTCAGCAACCCGCTCACGCCACTCATGTCTATACTTCAAGGATGCGGACAGAGTGTACCATGGACCAGGGCCCTACTCTACGAGGTACTCGAGAGGGCCCACTACCAGATCCCGAGGCCCACCATCAGGACATGGGTGGACGACGTAAGATTTCGGTTGGTCGGCAGCCCCGACATGTTGAAGGAGGCCTTCCCTAGTTGCATCGTGAACCTCTGTCAAGGACTTGCCGAACTAGGATGCCGTCTCTCGGATAAGTCAGTCGTCTTGGCCAGCTCCCTGGACCTCGGCAAGACCGTCGCGGGCACCCTCCAGGGCCACGGGATCCGCATCAAGCCCCTCGGCCACACCAGGGACCTCGGGATGGATGCCTCCGTGGGGCGCCGTCGGACTCTCAAGGTGCGCAGGAATCGCCGCACCCTTGGGCTCCTCAGGGCAAGAAACATCAAGACGCTGGCCAGGACAACGACCAAGGCTCGTTCTCTTTATCGCACAGGAGCGCAGCCCCAGATGTTATGGGGCGTGCAAGGTCACGGGACCTCACCTTCAGAAGTACTTTTTCTGCGTCGCCAGACCGCATCTGCTTTCGGAGCGTCTAAATCAGGAGCTTGCCTCACCACAGGACTTCACGCACTCAAAGCAGAACCCGCAGAAGTCGATCCCGCGATTTTCCTCAGGGAAAACCTATTCCAGACTTGGTTCAGATTCATCAATAACGAGCTCGGTCTCCTGGGAGGAACCCAAAGAGCGTGGCCCCTGCTACGAGACAAGCTTCGTTCGCAGCATCGGTGACTTCGCGTGAAGTCGCACCTGTCGGCGGTCATCGCCACCCTTTACGACGTAGGTTGGGGGCCTACCGCTGCCTGGCAGTGGTCGGACCCCTCAGGCCAGGTTTTCAGTGTGATCAGCTGGGACCAGCAGCAGCGCTTCCTCTATCACATGCAGTTCCTCCTCTCCATGCGCCCCTGGAGCCTCAATTGCCCCAAGAGCCACAATTCCACAGGATTGGAGGAAGGAGGAGATATCACAGCAATGAGGCTATACCCTAGCAGGAAAGCAGCAGCCATCAGGAAGCAGAGGAAGAAGATGGAGGAGGAGGAGCTCACCAGGGACCAGAGGGCCACCAAAGAAGAGTACCTCACCAGGCTCGCCTCCTACCCCTCAGCTTTGTCTGCAGTTGCCTGTTCCAAGTGCTGGAGTGAAGAGCGCAGATTCGAAGCAGGGCTCCAGGACCGCGCCGACTGCCTACTATGTGGACAGCCGAATGCGGACGACCTTCACAAGTTCTGGACCTGCCCCGAGCTCCCCTCGCTAGGCCTGGAGGCCATTCAGAAGACCCAAGATTCAGTACCTCAAGCCGTCCAGGAGTGCCCCCAGAATGCTCGCCTCTGGCTCCGAGGGATTGTACCTGCTAAATGGGCCCTGCACGCAATCCACAAACACATCATGTCCCTCGGCGACGACCCCCACAAAACTGGAGTTTCCCAGCAACACGCCAAGTTCAGCTACACAAACATCCTCATCGGGGCCACCGACGGGAGCGGGGGGGAGCACACCATGGATGCACGCCTCCGAGTCTGCGGCTGGGGGGCCGCCCTTTGGTCCTCCTCGATGCAGTTCATCGGCTCACTCTCAGGAGGGATTCGAGGCCAGCAGTCAGTCCCTCTTGCTGAACTAGCCGCAGCTAGCAACCTTCTCCAAGCCACAGAAGGACCCCTAGTCATCGTCACCGACTGCCTCTACGTCATCAAAGGCTTCTTGAAAGGACCCAGGGCCCGACATTCTCGTAACCCTCAGGCTTGGGAGAAGTTTTGGACGTATGCCTCAGCCCGCGCTATTCAGCTCTTTTTCCAGAAGGTCAAAAGTCACCCGACGGAGGGGGAGGCGGCCAAGGAGCCGCCGTGGGCGCTCTATGTGAATGAGCAAGTGGATGATATCGCCAGGTGCGCCGCCCGTCGACGGAGAGTACCCCCCGCGCTTGAGCGTCAGATCCAGGGGGCAGACATCCGCGCCGACATGATTTGCGACCGCCTCTCGGCAATCCAGACCCACCACTGGGAATCCAAGGATCAGTTCCCCCGGGAGGACGAGGAGTCGAAGGGGGGGCGTAGGAGAGTGAGAGCCTTTAGAAGTGTACAGGCCCTTCAGGATACCCTTCTAAATACCTCACACTGTCTTTTAGCTGTCCCTGTCGCCCCCGATTTCAATATAGCTTGTCTCAGGTGTAAGAAGGAAGGTAGTGTCAAAATTCGGATGCCCACATGGTTAAAGAGACTTTGTAGACCCAACGTTTTAGCGGTGCACCCGCCCCATCAACCCCTTCTGAAAGTCACCAACCGTATCTGCTGGTGTAGCCGTTGCGGGGGTTGGTCTATTCGGGCCCGTAGTAAATTAAAATCAGTCTGTGAGCCTCCCACAGAAGGGGGGAGGAAAGCAATTCAAAGGTTGGCGCAAGGTCGTTTACCTCCAGGCCTGAAAGCCTGGCCCAAGCTCGAGGTGCTGCACTACATGCGGCACACAGGACGCCAGCGCGCGGCGGGACTCTGTCTTTCCAGGGGAGTTCGCTTCGGAGGAGGAGCAGGGTAATGATAATGAACAGGAGGAGGTAGTAGATGGGGCGGAGTGTTAAAAGGTTTCAGATATCCTGCCAGGCAGCACTCGGCAGCCTACCACGCCTCAGCGTGCCAAGGGGCAGGGTGGCAGATATGTATGGGGTGGCGGAAATCGGGATCTGATCCTCCAGCTCCCCTGCTTGGAGGAGTTCAGACCTTGACTGACCTTTCCCAGGTGATCGAGGAGATGCAGCGCCAGATGGAGCGGCAGAACCAGGACAGCCTGGAGCAGAAAAGTATCACCGGTAGCTTGCATTCCGAGGTCGGCTGCCTCAGGCGCAGGATCGCGGAGCGAGACTGCGACGTGGCCAGCGCTGCCAGCACCTCCGACGACTGGGCCCGCGCGGACGCGCTGGAGCTGGATAACCGCGAGGTCGGCGAGCCTCGGCACCTCACCTCGGAAGAGACGCAGGCAATCCCCGTGCTGAACGGGCTCGCTTCATCTGAGCTGTTGAAGTGCGAGGGCAATGGCAGCGCCGAGCACCTAATGCCGAGCCTCAAGCCAGGCGCGCTTGAACACTCGCCAAGACGAGCACCCGCGCCATGCCGAGCACCAGGCCCGAGCCTCGAGGCGCCCCCCACGCCGACCCCCTCGGCTAGCGTCGCGTTTCGCGCCCACAAGCAGGGGAAGCGTGCCAGGACATCGGCGCAGCACCTTTTCCTGGCCGCGCGACATGCGACATCGAACTTGCAAGCTGGCGCAAATGTATAGCATTGCCTTGGACGCTGCAGCCTGGCACGCCTTCTACCACGGCACTGCGCCTCCCGTGCCGTCTGCGGCGCTCGGGCCCCCAGCCGCTCAGCCCGCTCGCGTGGGCTCGGGCGAGCGGGCGCTGTTTGTGTGAAGGTATACGTGTGTGCACGTTCCCGAGGTGCTAATGTGGCAGGCTTCCTGGACAGTTCTCATGGCGCCTCGCCCCATATCAGTCCAAAAGATATGTGACCGAAACCAAGATATGTGACAGAAATCGCGCGCAAAACTGTGTCCGAAAACGTAGTGCGACCGGAATTGCGACCGAATTTGGAGATCGCTCTGGCTTCGAACCAAACATCCTGGTCACACTCGGGGTGTGCTCGCGAAATTTCGGGCGCCTGTTTCGGTCACACTCGGGCAGACTTTTGGGGTGCAGTTTCGGTAGCTATACCCCCTGGTTCAGTCACGCGCAGAGGGGGGTGGGGGGAGGGGGGGCGCTTTCTACGAAGCCCTCCCCTCTCCCCCATACAGTGGAGGCCCATGCCAAGAAACACCCTGCTTGCCTCCATGGTGCCCTTGGTTTCTTGGGCTTCGGTGGTTTTGCTATGGAAGGCGTGACGTTCCCACACTACAACTGAATGGACGTCCTGGGGTCTCAGGGTTGGGTTTCTTGTGGACGGTTTCTTGTGGAAGGGCCCCTACTGTACCGCCTTGTGACAGCCGCCAGTAGAGACGAGGCTGCGTGGCAGCTCATCTTTGAGGCAGGCAGGCAGGCCGCGCTCCGGCGGAGACAGGCTGGCGGATGCCAGCGCGTCGCCCAACGGCGCAGTCCCACATTCCCAGTGGACGCGCGGAGGCCACGGTCCGAGCTGCAAGGGACGAAGGTCAGTGCAAACGGAGGTCAGCCAGAGCGCTGGATGTTGCAGGATCTTGCACGGCCAGGGGTGCACTGACCCAGGCTTGCGTGCCGGATCTCGCAGGATTTTGCAGTATCCTGCAGGGTCCTGCAAAGCCTGGGTGACCCAGGTTTGCATTGACCCCGGTCAGTAGGTCCCCGAACGATGACATTCTCGGATGCTGGATCAAGGTGGCGCAAGGTTGGCACGCTGTGGGGCAAATAGCCAAGACGAGCAATCTCAGCGCTCACGGATCAATCTCGTCGGAGTAGTCGTCTCGAGCTTCGGGGCCCTCACGGACCGATCCAGTCCGGAAAATGACTTGCGAAGACAAGTCACGGCGGGCGTTTCTACACCGTCTCGGGCCCTGGACTCCCTCAATCCTGCTGGATAAGTCACGCATGAAAGTCTGGTCGGGGGGGTCGGTTGTGATTCCTTTGGCGCTGATGCCCTTTTATGGTTGGGATGACGAGGCAGGGGGGGAGGACCAGAGGAGCGGAGCGCGCACCCAGGGCCTCCTCCTCCTCCTCCTCCTCCTCCTCCTCCTCCTCCTCCTCCTCCTCCTCCTCCTCCTCCTCCTCCTCCTCCTCGTCCTCCTCCTCCTCCTCCTCCTCCTCCTCCTCCTCCTCCTCCTCCCCATCGCCATCAGCACCCCTCCCTTCTCATCCTCGCCCGTCCTCCTGCTCTCCTTCGTTCCGCATCCTCCTGGGTCCTTGGGATTGGTTGGGACAGGGGGGGCACAGGGGCAGGAGCCCTCGTCATCCTCCTCGCCTTCCCGGGTGCCCCCTTTGCCCTCCGCTTCCCCTCTCCCCTCGTCCTCTTACTGTTGCTCCCGCTCCTTCTCTACTCTTCCTTGTTGCTCCTCCCCCTCCTTCACCCCCTCCTCCTCCTCCTCCTCCTCCTCCTTCTCGTCCTCTTCCTCCTCCTGCATTCAGGCCAGGATGTTTTAAACATTCCTTGCCATTGCGGCCAAGCGGTGCAGCCTGGGCGCCGTGTGGCACCTTCTGAATGAGGTGTACTGCCGATGATCCCATGTGGGCTGAGGCATGTCCTCGCCCCTCCCCCCCCCCTTTCCCCTCCTGGGGGCGATCGCTGTCATGGCATGAGTCAGGAGGACCTTCCGCCCCCGTCCCATTCGGACCCCTGTGAAAGGGAAGGCGGCACGGCCCCAGGGTTGAAAACCCCAGGGGTGGACGTTGTGCGCACCCTAGGCCGGAGAGTGGCCTTCCCCCATCCCCCCCCGCTTCCAACCCCTCCCGGGTCCTCGTAGCCAGGTTTGAGCCCTGGTGGTTGGGTCCTTCGCCTCCTCCCCGTGGCACCTCCAGGTTGATGTTGGCACCAGTGGTCCGTGCGGCACCGTTGCCCGTTCCTCTCCCCCTCTTCGGGGGTGATGGAATGGCAAAGTGAGCTTGACCCCCTTCTCCTCCTCCCCCCCCTTCCCACCCTGCTTACTCCGCGGATCGCCCCATGCGGGGCGCGCGCGTGCGTTGGGTGGGCGTGCTGACGTTTCACCTGGTGCCTGCCCTTGGGCGCCTCGTGGGCGTTTCGTGGGCGCCTCGTACGCTGCCGTGGGCGCTTTGTGGGCGCCTCGTGCGCTTGGCGGCCGCATAGATTGCACTACATCGTTTTTGTCCGAAGGTCTTGCGCCAGATAGCTTACAGCGCATAGTTTGCGCCACATGGCTTGCATCACGCAGCTTGCACCACGCAGCGTTCAACCGCGTTCATTGCAGCTCACAGCTTCAACCACACTTTACACAGCTTTTACCACAGACAGTGCACCTCATAGCTTACACCATCGCGTAGTTTACAAAACATGATGTACCACATCGTTGTTCGAGCGCGGTCGGGATCGGCCTCCCGCTGCGCTGGCCCGCCACGCACGCAGTCTGGCAGCTGCAAGGTGTCGGCGCCCGCCTTCCGCCGAGCTTCGGCGTCGGAGATCGCCGGTCGCCGGGCCCCTCATGACCCTATATCAACTGTCAGCCCTAGGCCTGCAGGCTGTTTGCATCGGGGTGTTGGGCACAAGCTTACACTCGTGCTTCACATCAGGTGCCTATACCTGAACAAGCATCGCAGTGCGAGTCATGTTTTAACCTGCTGCGCTGTACGCTGGCCGCCGGCATTGTGCCTTTCTGCAGGTGTTGTACGTTACGCTTCTCCGCCTCGTTCGCCCTCCTTCCCACTTGCGTGGGCACCAGTACGACGCACCCCAGTCCGGACCGGTATGGGATACGCACGCGCGATTCTACAGTGTAGCCGCCATCTTATTGAGGCATCGAATTCGCGAATGTTGTTTACGTCTCTCGTTGTCCTCCTCCGCGTGTCTTCCTCCTGCCCCTCTTGACGCTGTCTCGACCGTTGTTATCTTGGAGTGGGGTTCCGAGAGCATGGCCGGACTTTCAAGATATCTCAGTTTTGGTATGGTTGATTCCTTGGGTTGCTCTGGTACCTGTTGTGACAGCTCGCTAGGTGTTCCGTTCTGTCCGTTTCGCCACGTAAAACATGAAACATATGGTACCACGTAGCTTACGCCATATTGCACCGCATAGCTCACGCAACCACACTGCAATGACTTTCTGCGTGAGGTCCACGCTGTCAACAACATGTTCTTCATTCTCTCTCAGGTGATCGGCGGTCCTCGACGGTATTTGATGGTTTCAGGAGGTTTCCGATGCTTGCCCTCACATCAACGGTCGCTGACAGATACGGCGGGGTTTTCCACGTCCTTCTGGGCCTCGAGGACCCTCACTCATTGATCCAGCTCGAAAAAGAATGACCACTGCAGATCTTCGAATGGCTTTTCTGCGCCATTATGGTCGATGGTGCCCTTTCGGGCCGATGAGGCCCGAGAGACGGAAATCACGACGAGGCTTGCTAGCTGTGCCGTTTCGGGCGCCAGTATTTGGCTCGGACGCAGCCACTTGGGCTCAGGCCCCTCTCGCGCTCAGGCCCGCAGCTCGCACGCCCTCGGAGCCCAAGACAGCCTGCCCTGCGGGCCCTGCGGGTGGTAGTGCTGCACCGGGCAGCAATCTCCCGCTCCAGCGCAGGGGATGGGGCAGGTGTCGAGCACCTGCGTTGGGTGGCGAAGCGCGGAGTCCGACGCGGCAGTTCCCCTGGGAGGCGACGGCCAGTCGAACTTGATCGACTTGGGGATGTGCGTGGGGTGGCGGACAGCGGAATCTGATGCTCCGGCTCCCATGCTAGGGGACGCCCAGCCGAACTTGACTGCTCTGTCCCGGGTGATCGAGGACATGCAGCGCCAGATGGAGCGGCAGAGTCGGGACAATCTGGAGCAGAAAGCGATCATCGGGAGCTTGCACTCCGAGATTGGTTGCCTCAGGCGCAGGATCGCGGAGCGGGACTGCGATGTTGCCAGCACCGCCAGCACCTCCGACGATTGGGCCCGCGCGGACGCGCTGGAGCTGGACTGCCGCGAGGTCGACAAGGCTCGGCAGAGCCGCACCTTGGGAGAGACGCAGCCTATCCCCGAGCTGAGCAGCCTCGCGTCTTCAGTCGAGGAACAAACAAAGGACATAATCATAACAAACTCTGAGGTTCGCGCGGATTTCTGGGATCGGCGCTGGACTCCCTCCCTGGCGCGCGGAGCGCGCGCCAGGGGCGGCGCCGGAAGCGCCACCATGGGATAGGGCTCCAGTGCCGATCCAAGAAACCCGCGAAGGCCTCAAAGTTGTTCTGCTTATGCCATTGCCTGTTGCCCGATTCGGAGCCCACGGAGGGCGAGGGCGCGGAGAGAGCCGAGCGCCCAGCGCCCAGCCTCAAGCCGGCCGTGCTCGAGCACTCGCCCCGACGAGCGCCCACGCCGTGCCGAGCGCCCGACCCGAGCCCCGAGGCGTCCCCCAGGCCGCCCCCCTCGGCTCGCGGCGCGCCCCGCGCGCAGGAGCAGGGCAAGCGTGTGTGGACAGCTGGGCGGCGCGCTCCGGGGGGCCTCGAGCTTCGAGGAGCTGGAAGGGCTTCGGACGCCTTCGCACGTGTTCGCAGGTTCTCGGCGGTTTCGCCAGTTTTCGCACGTTCTCGCACGTCTTCGCACGCTTCGAGCTTGGAGGGTGTCGGACGCTTTCGCAGATCCTCGGCGGTTTACCAGCCTCGGGATGCGTTCCAGCGGCTGCGCCCCGCCGGGAGCGTGCCGGGAGTGCCAGGGTCGTCCCGAAAGGCCACGTGAGGGCCGAGGTGTGATCCCTAAGCCACCTGCAGGCGTCCGAGAGCGGCGGGCCTTCCCAGAAGGCTCCGAGGAGTTTTTCGTGCAGCCTCCCCCAGGAGACGCAGAAAACTTGCCAGAGGGCGCGGGGTGTTCTGAGGAGGTCCGCCGCCTTCTGAGAAGGCCTGCACCTTCTCCTTCCTTCCCCCCCCCCGGGCGCGCCGCCGAACATCGGCGCAGCATCGCGTTTCCGCGCGCGACGTGCGCCACTGAATTAGCATTTCAGTGCCACTTCAAAGGTACATGTCTTACCATCGTGCACACACACACACATCGGCGGTGCTAATGTTACCTGCGCCCTGGGCAGTTCATCTTGGGTGCAGGTAGAGGCCGCTCCTGCGAAGACGGGCTGACGGGTGCCAGCCGCACCGCCTGAAGGCGCAGCGGCAGCAGCCTCCCAGTTTCCGGTCGACGCGTGGTGTTCAGGATTATGTTACTTGATATTTGATCGAGGTGGGCGCGCATTGACATGTCGTGGCAAAAAGAATTCTCACGATGAGCTCGGACCGAGGCTGAGCTTCTTCCTGCAGCTTCTCGGGCTTTGGGACCTTCACTGATCAATTTGCTAGGGATTATGTGTAACTCGGGGCCCCCCAAACTGCGTCGTGACCACACCGCGTGATGAGTCCGCGGGGGGTCTGGGTCACCGCACGGTTCTGGGACTCGGGTCGCTCTCCGAGGACGTCTCGGGCGGCAGGGGCCTCCTGAGGTCCCAGCAGCGTGTGGTGACGGACCGCGCGGTGAGGTCGTTGGGGGTCCTTAGGTCACCACGCGGCCCGTCACCACACGGTGTTTGTGACCGAAATTACCTACCAGTTTGGAACATATCCCTATCCTATCCCCACGTCTGGCATCAGCTTACCTCGGTGACGATCTTAAGGATTCCCTCAGCTTCTGAGGGCTCTCTCTAAGATTGTCATCGCTCTGGCCTTGCCGATCTTAGGGATAGGGATAAGCTTGAGGCTGCTTAAATTACGTTTCACAAGTCTTGACGGTTCGCGCATCCCCGCCAGCCTTTGAGGCCTCGGCCGCGCTTAGTTGTCGCCTCGCGCGTCGCCCGGCAGCGATCCCCGCCAGCCCACCCGGCAGCGATCCCCCGGCGAGTGAGAGAGGGAGCCCGCTTTGTCCTGCACACGTTGCCCGTGGTGACCTCGTCGGTCGGCTGACGGCCTTGGTAGTCCTTGTACGGCCTGCTCCAGTGCGTTTGGCGGCGTGGTGACTTTTTCGGTCGGCTGGAGGCCCTGGTTAGGGGAACAAGAAGTGGCATAAACATAAAAACTCGGAGGTCCGCGCGGATTTCTCGGATCGGCGCTGGACCCCCCTCCTTGGCGCGCGGACCGCGCCAGGGGCGGCGCCGGAGGCGCCGCCGGGGTGCCCCAGCGCCGATCCGAGAAATCCGTGCGGATTTCCGAGTTGTTATGTTTATGCCAGTTCTTCCCAACCATCCTGTGGTCCTCGTTTTGAAGAGACGGCCCTCGCGTTCCTCCTCCTCCTCCTCCTCCTCCTCCTCCTCCTCCTCCTCCTCCTCCTCCTCCTCCTCCTCCTCCTCCTCCCCTCCCCTCCCTCCTCCTTCCTCCATGCGTTTCATCCACCCAGCAGGAGCTCCACCGAAGCACCCAGTGGGACCGCCCGCATGCGTCCGCCACCACCCAGCACAGCCCTTGCTCCCTGCGCTTCACCCACCCAGTCCAGCGTTTCGTGGCCCCATAGAGGGCTGCACGGAAGGTCCCAGTGGCACCGCCCGCATGCGTCCGCCACCACCCAATACGGCCCTTGCTTCCTGCGTTTCACCCACCCAGTACAACGCTTCGTGGCCCCATAAGGGGCTCCACCGAAGGTCCCAGTGGCACCGCCCGCATGCGTCCGCCACCACCCAGCACAACCCTTGCTCCCTGCGTTTCACCCACCCAGCACAGCGTTTCGTGGCCACATAGGGTGCTCCACCGAAGCCCCCAGTGGGACCGCCCGCATGCGTCCGCCACCACCCAGCACAGCCCTTGCTCCCTGCGTTTCACCCACCCAGTACAGCGCTTCGTGGCCCCATAGGGAGCGCCACCGAAGAAGATATTCACAACTGCGGTACTCACAACTGCATATGGTTGGGTCTTTCGCCAGGCTAATTTTACAAGCCCGGGCGGGGGGAAAACCCGTCCCCCCACCCCAAAACCAGACTCCCGGGATCTGGGGCTCAGGGACCCTCCGGACGGGCCTCGAAGCGGCCCCCCCGGGCCTCGCAGGACGTGGCGCGCTCCCGAAACCAAACCAGAGAGCCCCAACACGGTCGACGACGACCCCCAATAAGCCGTCATACCCCCAAAGATCGTCCCGAAACATCCCCAGAGGCTTCCAAGAGCATTCCCAAGAAGGCCCCAAGAGGCAAAAATCATTAATTTTGTTGGTTTTTGGTTTATTTGGGGGTTCTCCTCTTTTCGGCTTTCTGACGCTCCAAGACGGCGGTCTTCTGGGCGTCCGAAGCTGCCTGGGAGGCTCCAAAATCGCCCCACAACCATCCGAAAGGGCTTCCAGGCAGTCCAAGAGAGCCCCAAAACGGCACAACAGGGGTCCAAGATGGCCCTCAGAGAGCCCCATGGCGGCCCAAGATGGCCCCAAGACACCCTCCGAAGCATTCCAAATCGTGACCCGGTCGTTCAGGGAAACCGCGGTCGGAAGCAGGGTGCCCCGAGGAAGCCCCCAGAGGCCCCCAGAACACGCCCAGGAGGCCTCCAGAAAGCCTTAAGAAAGCCTGAAACAACTTTTGCAAGGCCCCCAGAGGCTTTCCAAGGAGGAGCCTCCGCAAAAAGAGTTGAGGAGGATGGGGATAATGCGCAGGGCATGGCGAAAATACAGAAAAAGAAGCACGGAAGAAGGATAACGAATAACACTGTTATAGCGGCGATGCCAGAAAAGGAATTATCGCTAAACTGTCGGCTTGACCTTCCTGCTAGTCCGCCTGCATACCAAACTTCAAGGACCAAGGTGCATGGCGCGAAGCTCCACTGCAGTCTTGTGTATATATATATAGATTTGTGTATCCCTCGTCTTTTTTTGTTTACAAGCTGGGAGGGGGGGGACCCCCCCCCAAACCAGACCCGCAGGTTCTGGGGTTTCCTGGCCCGGACACCCCTGTCAAGTCCCGGATCTCCCAGGACGCTTGGCCATTTCTTGCCAGCAGACCCCAGGCGATCAGAGCGGTGATCCGAGAGGCCGAAGAGAGACCCAGGACAGCACAAGAGCGCTCCAAGAAGGACCAAGATGGCCTCCAGAGGCCCCCAAGACGGCTTAGGAGGCCCTGAACAGGACTCCCAGAGTGCGAAAGTCGCTTCATTCCCTCAGGTGAACGTGCATGTTCAACATACTCGCTTGTCGGGTCTTGGCAACATCCAAAACAGCCAAAAAAAGGTTCCGGTATCGCCCCGAGACGGCCCAAGAGAGCCCCAAGGAAGCCTCTAGACTTTAGACGGCTTGGATGGCCCCAAGACTGCGCAAGGAAGCCCCACATTTGCCAAAAAGAGGCCCAACGAGCCTTCACGAGGCCCCCGAAAGAAGCCCAAGAAGGCCATGTGAGGCCCCCAACCAGGCCAGGGGAGGCCACCAGCAGGGCCCGCGTAGCCCCCGTAAGGTCCATAGAAGGCCCAAGCTCCCCAACACGGCGCAAGATGGCCCCAGGACGGCTTCAGAGGGCCCCCAGCCGGCCCGCCAGCGCTCCAACAAGTCCCCGTTTTCCACCAATCTGACCCGACTCCCAGGTTCGCAACCACATTTCCCAGAAGTCTGTTGCGAACCCAGGATTCGGCGCATCCTCCAAGAATTACTTGCTTTCGCATGCCCCGTTGCGACCCGCTGCGACATGACATCCTCGGCTTGGCATTGTTTTGTAATTTGCGTCATTGCTTGTCATTGCGTCGGCTTGCTTGGCATTCATTCGCGGGTCTTGCCATTCCTTCGCTTTGCGCACCGGGGCACCTGAGCCAAGAGCGGGCCAATGTGCGGGCCTACGAAGGCCTTCCGTCGTCTTCTACTGCAAGACATTTCTGCAAGCGTGAGCGTACACATGAAACCGTAGCCGTTGGCTTGTGGGCAGCGCACTTCGGTGCGGCGCAACCGAAATGCTTCGCCGTTCCCCGACGGCGCCATCTCTTTCCCTCCCCCTACTCCTCCTCTGGGTCTTCGATCCTCCTTTCTCCTCCTCCTCCTCCTCCTCCTCGTCCTCCTCCCCTGTCTGCCGCTCCACCACTCGTCCTCCCCAACATCTGCTTCCGTCTCCTCGCTCCCCGAAGTTCCCTCCCTCCTATCATTCGTCCTCCACCCGGCGCCTTTCGGAAGCCCCCGGAGGCCCAGGAAGGGCCACAGACCGTCCGGATTTTCGATGATTTCCGACAACCACCGCGGTGAAGGGGCCAAATTTCCAAGGCCATTAGGGATGGCGAAAGCGGCCAGCATAATCAAAGCCTCAAGGACTAAGGTGCATGGCGCGAAGCGCCAATGCAGTCTTGTATCTATACTTATGTCTGTTTCGAAGTCAGCGTAATTGGAAGGGATGGGAGGGAGGGAGGGAGGGAGGGAGGGGTATGAAGTCAGATATGTCGCGAGCGCAGGTGGCATGCCTCCTCTTATCTCCACTCCTCCTCTTCCTCCTCCTCCTTCTCCCCCTCCGTCTTCTTAGACGAGCCACGACGTGACGATGTCCTCCGTCTTCTTGGATGAGCCACGAGGTGACGATGAAGATCAGGATGCAAGATATAATCGATATGTTGATTCCATTGTTGGTGCGACCAGTCCGTACCTGATTGCTGTGACCGCGGCTCCGCGGCAGACGCCAAAAGTCTAGCGCAAGACATCTGACATCGGACATCGGCATGTTTCATGCACCGCGTGGGTGCCGCAGGGTGGGGCCGCAGCATCAATCAGTTTCAACTAACAGCGAAACAACTGCAGCACACAGCAAAACAACGATGTTGAAGTATCTCTTCTCCTCCTCCTCCTGCCTCGGCCACCGCGAGGTGAAGCCCGCCAGCTCCTCCTGGGGCCAGCACTTGGCGATTGCCGCTGCCACGGCATCCGAGCGCTGCGCGCCTCCGAGCGCGGGGGATCCCTCGCGCAGGTGCCCGGGCGCGGGGGTTGGCTGAGGAAGGGGGGGGGGGGGGACGGGGAGGGGCTCCCACGGGAGAGGAGGGGGGGAGGAGGAGGACACCAGTAGCCACCTCCCAGCCGGCCGCCCCAGCCTTCCTAGGGCCGCCTGGCTCACTAATTTGATCAGCCCTCCCCGGGGCCGACCAGCCAGCCCTGCCTTGGGGGGGGGGGGGGGCAGGGATGACTATGCAGGATGCCCTCATGGCAGAGAGAGAGAGAGAAACGAAATAAAGAGAGAGGGATGGGAGGAGGAGGAAGAGGAGGAGGAGGAGGAGGAGGAAGAGGAGGATCGGGAGGCGGGAGGCGGGAGCGGGAGGTGGAGGGAGAAGGGGAGGAGAAGGAGAGGAGAATGAGAGGGATGGTGAGGGGAGAGGGGGGTCACCACTACGTAGGGGGGTCACCTCGTCATACTCGAACTCGAGGATCGAGGAGGAGGGTGGAATCTACAAGTTTCCGCGTCGTTGAAGGTCGAGGGCGAACTGTAAATAGATATGACCACAGCAAGTTATGACGAAAGTGAATTCTATTTAGAGGATTCAGTCGGCGAGTCGACGTTGGTAAACTAGGTCACATGGATCGTGCAAGGATATTCCTTGTCGCCGCACTTGTTCGTCCTTGAAAGCAGTCATGCTCCTTGACGTGGGCAGTCATGAGGTTACCTGCCTATGGCAAGTAATCGCGAGGAGCCCAAGTACGCGGTATGTGATGATTTGCTGCAGGCGGACGATCCTGCTCTTCTGAGTGCAGGCCCCGTGAAATTACACATGGAGCTCGACATGGTCATACAAGAAGGCCAAGCAGTACGGACTTGAAATTAATTTGAGGAAGCTGGTTATGATGAGAGTATGTACGCAGCGAGAGGCAGCTGTCCCCGCCAGATGGGATGTGTTGAAATCCGTGGAACAGACTGTATACCTGGTGGCGGGGGCGGGGGGATTGAGCACCATTGCGAACAGCAAACCAGAGGTGACCTGGCGAATTAGGGGGACAAAAGGGTATTCAAGTATTGGGAGAATGTTGGGGGAGATGCGAACATCACGAGACAGAGCAAGTTGAAGCTGTTCCGTGCAGTTGCATTGCGCATCTCATCAAACATCTGGAGCACATATGGCTTCCCAACGCAAGCCGTAACAGTTAGGATAGTTTTGCTAGCGGCTTGTTTGCGACGCATGTTGAACTTACTTCGTGCGTACATGCCACGGGTTCCACACGTTCATGTGAGATCGGGTGCAGGCGCACGACAATTGAGCGTCGACCTGCTTGACAAGCGAGGCAAACTGCATAACAATATAGCACATCCCCCCGATGGTCACATCTTGCGCCGCCTCGAGTGCGAGCCTAGATGGGGGCAGACCAAGGCAGGGGCACCGCATGCGCAGACGCGGACGCCCGAGGGGGCAGAGGGCTGCGCGCGTTTTCCCATACGCGTTCTGGCTATGTTCTGCATGTGGTGGAGGCGTCTGTTAAGGATTAGTCCTAGGAGGCGCCAGACCCTGGAGGATTCCTCATCTGATGAGGGCGGCGGTGATATCCATGCCTAGGCCTCAATTGGACTTCCGCTGGCTTCCAGACCCTGGAGTTCTCATCGAAGCTTTCCTTATCCAGTGCCCCCACCCTGTCTCTCCCCTCCTGTCCTCCTCGCCGCCCCTTGGCGCAGCTTCCTCGCACGACTAGCTCGAAGAGTGCCGTTTCTGCCTGCGCGCCCTTAGGGCGCCAGGCTGCTCTGCCTTGGTGGTCCTGGGGGCCCTGGGGGGGGGGTCCAGGGGGCTCATGCCCTCGAGAAGTTGGCGACCCTCCTGGTCGTGACCTCCCTTTGGCACTGCCTGGGGACAAGGGGGAAAGGGGGAGGAGGACGAAACATGCGACGGGAGGCCCCCCCCCCTCTTCCTCCGACCTCGTCCACGTCCTCCTCCTCCTCCTCCTCCTCCTCCTCCTCCTCCTCCTCCTCCTCCTCCGCCTGCATCCTCCTCGTCGTCCTCATCCTTTTGTTTCCCCTCCTCCCTCTCTTTTTCCAAGGCGCGCCCACGATATGACGGGACGTGCGCGAAGTGGCGACATTGGACCGGGTCGGCACAGTTCTTGGCCTTTTGCTGGCCCGGCTCGCTTCTCCCCCTCTCCCCTCCTCCGAGGCCTACCCCGAGGCCCTCCCTTCCCCTAGGCGAACCCCTAGGCCAGCCCCCAGTCTTATCCGAGGCTGCCCAGGCTACCCCGAGCCCCCGCCCCGTTTCTAGGCCTACCCAAGGCTACCCTGGGGCCTGGGGTAGGCCCTACCCTGGGCTCCTAGGGCCTGGGGTAGGCCTTAGGGTAGCATTCCCCTCCCGGTTCTGTACCCTCCGCCTTCTCCAGCGAGGGATTCGGGGGCCCTCCTGGGCGAAAGACATATCCACATCTGCGGCCTCGCGGGCCCCCGGGCCGCGACCCCGCGGATACAGTGCGTTTTTTCGCGGATGCCGCGCTCGAACGCAGCCGTGAGAGCGCGCATCCGTGAGACCGCGAGGGCGTGGATATGGATACGTTTGCCGCTTGTGAGTCGGCGGCGCGCCTGGGGGGGAAGTGAGAGGGGGCAGGCCTTCTTAGAAGGCGGCGGGGCTTCTCAAAAGCCCTCGCGCCTTCCGAGAAGTGTTCTGCGTCTCCCCGCTCCCTCTCAGACGCTTGGTGTTTTTGGGGGTCATGCCTCGGCCCTCACGTGGCCATTCGGGACGATCCCGGCACCCCTGGAGCGCTCTCGGCGAGGCGCAGCCGCTGGAACGCATCCCGAGGTCGGAAAGCCGTTGAGAATCGGCGAAGAATCTTGAAAACCTGAAACCTCGAACGTCGAGGCCGCCCGGGCGCGCCGCCGGGTGAGGCCCTTGGGCGTCGCGTGATGGGGGGGCAATACATCGGGGGACAGCGAGGGCTGCAGCAAAAAGGCCCTAAAGGGCCCAGAAGGGGGCCTTTCGGGCTCGAGCAGTGCACCTTTCTTCCCCGCGTTTGCCCCCCTCCCCCCCCCTAATTAAGCGACGCCCAGGGCCCCTTCGCAGCAGGTGCCTGGCCATGGACGCCACCGGCGCGAGCTTCGCTCTAGGCTCCGCCCGCGCGCACCGCGACGTCAGCAGCAGCACGGGCTCCCGGGGCCGCCGCTCCCACTTCACGGACGGCCGGGCGGCCGCGGCAGGGGCGGGTCAGGGGCACGACGCGGCGTCCTCTCTCCGATCTTTCCTCATCCCACGAGTTTGCTCTCTCTCTCTCTCTTTTTTCTCTCTCTCTCTCTCTCTCGACAGTCGTCGTCCTGGTCACCAGTCGTTTTTCGTCGTTCGTCGTTCGTCGCTGGTCGTCGTCGTCGTCGTCGTCGTCGTCGTCGTCGTTCGTCGGTGGTCGTGAGGCGAGGAGGGAGCTCACTCTCGGTCGCAGCCGAGGCATGGTTGGGGCGGCTGGGACACGAGCATCGCGAGCGCGCACCATCGCATCCCACCCCCTCCACAATCCAGTGTGGGAGGGATGCGTGCGCGCGATCCTTTTCAACACCTTTTTGTTGTTTCTCTTTCTCTCTCTCTCTCTCTCTCCTTCTCTCTCTCTCTCTCTCCTTACCGCGTGCTCTTACGGCAAGAGCGTCCGCCCCTCGCGAAGTTTCGCCCCGAGGCGGTGTCGCTCTGCCTCGTGCCCTCGTGCGTTCCCTCCCCCTCCCCCGTCTCTCTCCCTCTGCCACCCCGCGTGCGGTCAGGCGTGCCTGTCTTGATGCACCCGTGTTGCCTCGCAACGCGTGCCGCGTTCAAAACGTACGGGCTTGTGCGCTCTGCGTGTGGGCTCGGCACGTGCTGGCCCACGTTTGGGCGAACCTACGCCTGCAGTCTGCGTGCTGAGTTGCGTATCAACGCGCTACGCGCTTCGTGTTGCAAACCAGGGCAGCTAAGTGCACAGGTGTCTGCGATGGTTCGTTCCCAAACTTGCCTCACGAGACAGAATCCCAACCGAACCTTCCCGCCAGTTCTCGAGCCAAGCACTGGTGGCGCCCCGCGCAGTTCTGCCACTCTGGAGCTGCCCCCTGTCATCGGAGATCCTCTGAAATCTCGGGTATCAAACAACACTTGGGCATGAACTGTTGGAGGTCCGCGCGCGTTTCTCAGATCGATGCTGCAGTCCCCTGGCGGCGCCTCTGGCGCCGCCCCTCATGCGCTCAGCGCGCCAGGGATGGGGGTCCAGCGCCAATCCAAGAAATCCGCGCGGACCTCCCAAAGTTTACGTGTATGCCATTGTCCGTTGCTCCAGAACCTGCAGGTGCCCGCCGTGTGCAGGTTGGTATCTCGCTATCGCGATATGCCAGCGTCGCACCCTCCCTCTCCGAAGAGGAAGGGGGGGCAGAGGTGGGAGACGAAATACCCAGATGGAGGACGAGGAGCAATGATGGGTAGCGGGAGGAGGAGGGGACCAATCTGCACATCGCTGTCAGAGTGGCCCGCCGCTGGCCGTCTGGGCCGCAAGCAAGAGCAGGCAGCTTCTGGCGACCCCCTCGCGGTCCCTGCCTCCGACCAGACAGCCGCCCCTGCCTGGCCCCCCCCCCCCCCGAACTTCTTGGCCTGGCCCACGCGAGCCCGTCCCGCGGCAGTGTTGCCGCTGCTGTTCCCGCACCCGTCATCCTCAGATGGCGCAGGAACGCTGAACGCGAGTGCGCGCTCCAGCAAGAACGCACAACAGACCCTCTCTGGACCAAAATCCGACTAGGTGTGGGACGCGAGAGAACAAGGCACTGCTCCCCCGGGGCGACCCAGGAGGCAGCTGACATCTGGGGCGGACCAGGCGCAGCAGGTGAGTCTCCGCCAGCTGTACCCCCCTCCGCGCGAGAGGAAAACGAACCGCACGATGCAGCGAAGAGGATATACTTCTGGAGCGACTTGCGGATTTCTTAGATCTGCGCCGCAGCCCCCTGGCGGCGCCTCCAGCGCAGCAGTTGGTGCGTTCCGCGCGCCACAGCGCAGATCCATGAAATCCGCGCGGACCTCCAAAAGTTTATGCTTATGCCGGCTGTCTTTCCTTTATAGCACAGACGAGAAGTCAGAAAATACATGCGACGGCAACGGAGAGAAATATAACGCACCCCGATCTCACCACGCGCGCCTGGGCACTGAACGAATTTACATGACCAGAGGCCCCTCACTCATACTTGAACGAGTCGGATGAGGAGGGAGGGTGTTGACGAGGCAGGAGGGTGAGCATACTAGAGAGTTTGAGGCCTGGCAAAGAAACAGCTTTCCAGCATACGGGGGTCCTCCCAATCTTCGTCCTCCTCATCATCATACGCCTCCTCCAGCCCCCCCCCTCGTTCTCAACCTCCTCCTGTTCGGCCCCCCCTTCCTCCTCATCTCCCCAGGACCACCTGGCCAGCACCGTAGCTGGGGCTGGGCTTCTGAGGAACGGCACCTTCAACGCCTTCTCCAGCCCCAGGAGGTAGGCAGGCCTGGCTTAGTCATCCTGCTCCTGCTTTACCCCCTCCTCATCTTACTCCTCCTCCTCTTCTTTCTCCTCCTTCTCCTCCTCCTCCTCCTCCTCCTCCTACCCCTCACCCTCCTGTCCTCCTGGTTCTCCCGCTGCTGCTGCTGGTCCATATCGTTCTTCCCCTCCTCCTCCTCCTCCTCCTCCTCCTCCTCCTCCTCCGCCGCCCCACTTCTTCCTGCCCCTGCTGATCCTGCCCCTCCTTGCCCCCCTCCATCCTGCCCTCAATTCCTCCTATTGCTGCTCCCCCTCTCCTTTCTCCTCATCCTTTGTCTCGTCTTCGTCGTCGTCCACCTTCTCCTCTCTCTCGTCGTTGTCCCTCCCTCTGGAGCATCGGCCTTTCGGGCGAGCCCCCCAAACCCCAAACTCTGCATGTCGTCGAGATCGTTACAGGAGCCCCGAAGTGGTCCGCAAAATACCACCCGAAGATGCGACAAGCGTCAACACATCATGTTCGGTGCTCGTGCGTGCTCGGCGCCCTGCACTCTTCAGCTCAACGCGGCTCCGAGAAGGACAGCAGAGGCTTCCCAAGCAGTCCCCATGGCCTCCTACGAGTTCAGAAGAGGAGCCGCCCCCAGGATAGCCCCAAATAGTGTTAAGTCGGGCCTGCCCCTCTACAGGGGGAATATTCAAACATAGTTGTTTTTATTGTTTTGTTTCAGCCTTGGGGCAATTTTTTGGAGTTTCGAATATGGTTTGGATTTTTGTTTGGATGATTTTTGATTTTTGAATCCAAAATCCCCCTGCAGGGGGACATGCCCGACCCAAAGATGGCGCCGGCGGGCCTCTAAGTCGACCCCACGGCCCCTGCCAATACAGCCCCAGTATTGCCACAAGAGTCCCCTACAGGCCCCATCGGCCTCCCAAACTGCCCAATGAGGTCCAATGAGCGCACGAGCCGTCTCCAAAAGGTCCCAATCGCGCGCCAAGGGAACTCCCTCGGAAGGCTCCAGGGAGGCTCCAGAAGAGCCCCCCAAAGTCCAAGAAACACCGGATTGTCCCCGCCGCGCGCGGGAAGGGGAGGACGACGATAAGGACGCCCCACCCCCCACCTCCGCCTCCCTCCTCGTTGTCCGCCTCCGTCCTCATCCTCGTCCTCCGCATCCCTCCGCCTCAGTTTCCTGTTGGCGCCCCGAGGATGGGCAGGGCCGCCACCGCGGCGCTGTCCTTTCGGGCCACACGTGCTCGCGCACGGCGCCTGGGCTCTCTCGTTCCGTTGCCGCCCTGCGCCACGGGCAAGGCCGCACGGTCGGGGGCGTTGAGGCTTCAGCATGCGTCCACCTGCAACATCAGGACGGGAAAAAACACACACAGACACAATTAATCGGCGATTCCCAGAAAATATGGGAAAATATGGGAAGTGGGGGGGAAGACAAAAACCCAGAAAATATAGGAAAATATGGGGGACCAGCTCCCCTTCACAACAGACGGTCAAGGAGTGTGCGCCCAGGAGACTTCGAACCCTTGAGGGTTCCCTGTCTGATGAGGTCGGCGGTGCTGCCCCTCGCCCATCCACGTGAAGAGTTCCACCGGTTCCCAGACCCTGGATTCTCTACACCATGGTTCCGTATCCGACGCCCTAACCCTAAGGTTGCGCATGCTCGGTGCCACGCTCACGCGGAATGTACGCCCCCCCCCCCCAGGTCTCCGTTGCGCGGCCTCCCCCCCCGGCGTGACAGCTTCGCCCCAGACGGCCGCTTCCTCGGCGCACCTGGGTGCACCCCGGCAGCAGGCAGGTTCCTTTTTTCGCCACCCTTTTCTCATTTATTCTTCCCGTCCCATCCCAAGCCATGCTCACGCCGTGAAAAGATCAGACTGGGCCACTGGGTTCCTTATAGGACCCCGGGGGCGTCAGACAACGATTCAGGATGAAACACCAGTCCTGGGGAAAGGATCGGGTCTTCTAGGGACCACGTAGTGTAAAAATCATGGCATGGCATGTGTGGTCCTTTCCCCGCTCCCCCGCATCCCCTTCCCTCCCCTCCCGTTCGTTCGCTCCCCTTCCCCCCTGCCCCCCCCCCCCGGTTCCCTCCATCCTCAAGCCGCTTGGGTTCCAACCATATTGGCGGGACCCAGAGCCTCGGTCCCTTCCCGTGGGCGCTTGAGGGACAGCACAGTCCCTGTGTTTGCTGCTTCGCCCTTGTAGAGACACACAGACTTCCGTGCTGACGAAAGCCGAGGATATCAGTGGCACCAACGTGGTCCACTTGCAAGCGCCGTTCCCAGTCGGAGTGGAGCGACTTACTCACCGCCAGAGACATGCAGTGTGCACGTTGCTTTAGTACGGTGAAGTTATATGTTGCTCCAGCCAAAGGCAAGGATAAAGACAAGGACGAAAGTAGCGGCGGCGGCCCCAAGGGTATTCTCAAGGTCACATTCGCTGACGACCAGCATCATGGTGACGGCGGCCAAGGCACACCCAGGAGAGGACGCCGCGCAGGCACACCCCCGCCGACCTCACGCACGAGGGAAGTTCTGCCGCTGCTCGAGCAGGCGCTCACTCAGGCCACTGGCCCTGAGTTGAAGTGCGCGTTCGCAGCCCGCGTCGAGAAGCTCAAGGTGGAACATCATGAGCAAGGTGGGTCGTCCTCGGAGGCCCTTCAGTTTCGGCAGCGAGCGGACGGAGCTTGGCGCGACATCAACAACAGGCACACTCAGGCTGTCCAAGCCGTGGTGCGGTTGAGGAAGCAGCTGCGTGTCGCGCAGGAGAAGGAGCAGAAGTTAGCCAAGGAGCTATCGGAGGCGGAGCTCACCAAGAAGCAGGCCGCCACCATCTTAGCCATTCGGGAGGCTATCACCCAAGGAGGACCGCAGCCGACGACTCCGACGACGTCAGCAGCACCAGCCTCGGGCAAACTCTTCGAATTCAAGTGCGATCCAGGATCCATCGAGAACTTTCAAGATCTCGAGTGCGACGATGCGGAGCATCTTGAGTTTGACAAGGTACACAAGGAGCTGATCGAGGCCCAGCCTTTCTTCGATGGCAAAGCCGAGCAGCGCGCAAAGTTCACCGCCATCGCTGGGGCCAAGGAGATGCGAGCTGCCATCACGGCCAGGCTTGCCAAGAAGAGGCGCGGGGCCGACGGGCAGGCTGCGCCGGCCACGCCCAGCGACGCCCCAACGGGCACGCCGCGTGGCGAGACGTCGGCGCCCCAGGCGGCGCCTGCCGCGCCTGCCGCGCCCGCCGCGCCGGCCGCGGACGCCGTCGGCGAGGCCGAGGAAGCCAGGGCCAACCGCGCGGCGGCCGAGGCGCAGAAGGTTCCAGAAGCTAAGTTCGCAGCGCAAGAGCAGGCCTCCAAGGTGGAGGCCGTCAGTGCAGCAGGCGACCATTGACTAGGTGCAGCAAGCAGCGGCACGGAGTGCCCTGCTAAGTCTGAGCCGCGAGCTTCGCGCGATCAGGGACGGGTGCCCAGGGCGAGCGAAGATCAGATGCAGCCCGTGTACGGCAACGTCACTGCCATGGGGGGCAAGGTGTGGGAATTCGTTCAGGATGCCCACTCTACCCAACGTTTTTGTTTGTTCTGCTCTGTTGAGGCCCATGTCTCCAGTTCAGGACTGCCCCAGTGGCTTCGGAAAGCGCGCGCAGATGAGCTTCGTCTCGTTGCCAACCCCGCTCGGGCAGCGAACGGGCATGTCTGTCAAGCTGGCATCCATGAAGCCACCGAGGGTGGTGAGTGGATCTTGGCTCCTGGGCACATGCAGGTTCCTTCGCTGGCGCCCCAATGAGAGCACTTATCCGACTTCCAAGCGGGGATGGATGCAGACTGTGGTAGACGGTTTCACTGCTGCCCGCGTACACATGGTAGGATATTCATTCGTGCCAGTCACCTTCTACGGGCTTGCAGCGTTTGGATTGACGGGTAACAGCGTACAGCGATGCGCTGGATTCGGGACTTTCCTCGCCTTCCTCCAACTACCTCGGGTTGTCATCGGAGGGCTTGACGTCTCTTTCACATCCTAGGCTGCCTCCGTTTTTTTTGTTTGCCGAGGGTGGGGGGCGAGGATGTAAAGGTGCCCATCGGTTGCACGTGCAATGCAGGTGGGGATGGCAGTCGCGTTGGTTATGTAGCACGGAGTTTCGCGGCTGCAGCGCATCTCATCGAAGTCGCCCCGCTCGCGAAAGCCCCCTGGAATGCCCATCGCGGGCTCGAGTTGCCCCGCGGGGCCTCAGCGAAGCGGCTTATGACCAGGAGACTAGCGCTGCCAGCTCGACCCCCGCAGGTCGGTCGACCCATGAGGACCCCCGCGCCAGGCCCCTGGTCTCAGCGGTCTCGCGCGGCCAGGGCGGTTAGTGCCCCGGCCAGTGCTGAGCAGACCCAGGAGCGATGCCACGAGCGATTTGGGGACCTCTGGGCTCCTGCCAAATCCGACCCCTCTGCGACCGGCGCAGGTCAGGTAGGGGTGGAGAGACTAGCGACCGCTACAAACTCGAATGATGCCAGCAAGCAAGGCCGAGGCGAGTCGTTCGACATCCAGTCGGACATTCTTTCGGAGGACCCTTGGGCCGACGAGCTAAATTGCGTCGATGACTCCAAGCTGGAAACACCGGCGGCCACGAGCGAGGCTCAGCCCGCGGGGGGGGGAAGGGGGGACACGGCGTTGCCGATGGCCCTGGCACGCGGAGCGAGTCCTCCAGGCAGTTCGCTTGGATCCCTGAGGCGCCAGTATTTCACTTACCCCAGTGCGCTCCCAGAGTCACTTGGGGGCTGGTGCCGCCTGTCGAAGGGCCCGATGGTCGACGATGATACGCCGCTCGCCTCTAACGTCACCGCCCCATCCAGCGAATTCGAAGAGCCGCCCCCGCCCTCCCCAAGTGTCACCCAGGAGGTTAGCTTCTTCGTGCCTGGCGATGCGTGGATTGACGCCGGAACTGCGGCTGGATTCACCCCAGCAGCGCAATGCCCACCCTCGCCCGCGTACTCTTCGTCCGTAGCTGCCATGCTTGAGCACCCTTCCGTCGCCCCCGTTTCGGCTCTATACGCTTCGT